ACACACAACTGGATTAAAACTACTTTTTGGGTCAGTTGAACCACGGGCTCCAACCAAACCCCTGTTCCTCAGGGACCCCTGTCCTGCATGTTTTAGGCGTTTCCTTGCTGCATCACACCGGAAAAGAAGGATTAATTAAAAGGCTTCTGCAGCACTTGATTGTAGAGGAGGAGCCCTCAATTGAATCAGGTGTGTTGGAACAGAGACCTATCTAAACCATGCGAGGCAGGGGTCCCCTGAGGTCCAGGGTTGAACCACGGGTTTAACCTAAAGGACTACAGTTCAACTTACAGACAAATGAGAAGCAAAAGCGGAACACATTTTAGGAACTTATGGACATCATGCTGAATTTGAAGAACTCTACAAGGGATGGCCATGGTTAGTACCTTGTAGACCAGGGGTGAGCAATTCCATTTCCTGGGGGCCAGAATCCTGCAACTTTTAGATCCATCCTAGGTCCAACACACCTAAATCAAATGGCTTAGTTACCTCCTCGGAATGCAGTCAGTTCTTCCAGAGTCCTCTCAATCATCTAATAACTTGATTCAGGGGTGTTGAACTAAAGGCACAAAAGTTGCAGGATACCCTTAGGAACTGCCCACCCCTGGAGTAGACCGTAGTGACCAGGTAAAGACAACTACATGAATTTGACCTAATCTTTGTGATGAAGAGAGGTAGTCAAGACGACTAGGATAAAAGGAATAACCCCTAAGGGTTAGTTACCAGCAACCTACCCAAACATTAGAGAACAACCTTTTGTATGATCCTGTCTGTAAATCATAAAATCAATGTTTAACACTTTAATGTTTAACCTGGCTTAAGTTGCTGACATGCAGTCAAAAAGTCCATGGCGAGAGATTTGGCCACTTTCTGTAAGTAAGACTATTATAAAATGTTGAAAAGAACGAGACCAGTCTTGAACTTAATGTAGATTGTCACACGATGTGGTGCAGGTTCTAAGAAATAAGAATGTTGTTAAATATGTCCCCGATATAATGTATTATTAACCTCCGTTTACTGTACACTAATCGTTTTATAATCTTCATCTACAATGACAACACTTGGCTGAAATGAGGAAAAGGGTCCCCGCCCTTTGGTCGTACTTGATAAAACTAGGACTATCGGTGCATCCAAATGCTATCTGCACATATCTGTAAATGATTCCCTTTCAACGGAACATCGAAGACCAACCCCTGCAACCTCAGCATTACCTCAAGTTAAATGCCACTTCTGGGTGGCTCACAGCAAAGATTATGTATTTATCCACGGGTTTATATAAGAATGAGGTGGGCTGATGATTGTTAAAACGTGTTGACTGAGTCACTGAGTGATCCTGGGAGGACTTCAGGGTGTGGTGACATCTGCACCTTTAGATGGAATAAGGCTTTTATGACAAGGCTGATCACTGTGCAGGAACCCTGTAGTTTGGTGATAAGATTATATCATGTCACATGCATAAGCAAACCTTTGCATGTTCTTCCAAACATGCACTGATTATGAAGAAGTAGTTGTTTGCAAGGGGTGGCCAAGGTGTCCGGATAAAAAGAAATGAGCTATTCTAACACACCACAGAAATTAATGTGAGTTCTGTTATGTTCCGTGGAGTTTGCACATTATCTTTATTTACAGTCTAAAGACATCCATGTTCTGTTCAACCGTGGGTTTAAATTGTGTAGCAAGAAATCTATCAATATAAAATATCCACTATAATTCGCTTCAAAGATTTGGGTTTTTGTAAGCATCATCTAGGTGATGTAATGCATTGAGTCCCAAAATCTGAAGGCAAGTGTTTCATTTATGCTTGTTATACTTTATTCATTCTTGAGACTCTTATTTTAAAGACTCAGATGAAGTAGTTCATAAGAAACGCTGTTGTGTTAACAGTGGTTCTACCACTTAATAGCGTATTGCAACTGGTCAACAGTTGGCTACTAATAATGTTAGATTATTTTAAGTCCCTGCTGTATTTGATTACTTCTAGATCAAAATCTAAAATACCTAAACAAAAATGATATCGATGACTCTACACTAAACAGAGATCCCCTAAAACACTGAAGCATATTTTAAACATTTTGTGAAAACACACAAAAAGC